TAATATCCCGAGCACGGTCTACCATATGTATTCCATTCTATGAATGTACGCCTGGCCAGAACGTGATACTGTCTTACATGGTAGTTCCAACCCACTATATTGCGTTTTTTGGTATCTTTATAGACATATGTACATTCAGCGGCTCTTTGTAATATATTTACTATAGTACTATATATTCTATCAATTATTTCTATATGCTTTTTATCATTACATGAATTAACCTCACACTCCAAATTAACATTATTATTACTATACATTAAACTAAAGTTATCACAACAAATTTCACGATATTTATCACATTGATCCTTATTTCTATAACCCCCTCTAAATTTTAAACTGCAGTCAGTTCTAGTATCACTTATCAGTCGTTTGCAACTAATATTATTAAAACTTACCTGTATCACTAAAGGGAAGTGATCGGACAGATAAGCATCATACAACACGTGTACCCCGCTTACCGCTGACTCGGCCGCCGTGGAAACAAGGCAGTGGTCAAGCCAGCGTTGCGAACCTGTCGCGTCACTTACATATGTATATGCATTTACATCTAATCGCTTAACATCTATACATGACAAAAGCTCCTCAGAGCAGTAGTCCAAGAGTTCTTTGTAAAACCTCGTACCAGGGTGCGCATTAAAGTCCCCCAAAACAAAAACACTTTCTACGTCCATACTTTCAATTATTGCACTAATATTAGCTAGACACTGTGACATTTCATAAAAGTTCTCTTCACTATCGGTAGGCATATAAACACTGAATACTAGTAAACTTCGATCATCATGCTCAAGTTTAACCGCAACAATACGATCACTGTTACACTGTACTATTTCCGCACGTGCAAATATTCTGCGGTCCCACAAGAGAGCGACCCCCCCGTACGGCCGCCCACGCACCACTCCTTGTCCCGTGTCGATAGCAGAAATACCATGACTACCGAAATGCTCACTGATTGTAGTTAATATACCAAGATCATGAGGAAACAACCAAGTTTCCTGTAGTGCGATTATGTGTTGGTTAAGACAAAAATGTGTAATTTCTTGTATAGACCTCTTCAACGATCTGCAGTTATATGAAATACAGCTAATTATGTTTGTGTTATCCATATTAATTTATTTGTATTGTCTTACGAGAATTAGTCGGTGCGTAGGGCGCTTGTGGCCTGTCACTGGTTCGATTACGCTCCCAGTACTTCCGGAACACAATATTAGCCGGCCAGAATTGAGTAGCGCTGTCATTCAAGAACAAATCAATATTAATTAAGGGTACAATCACTTTAAAGGCATTGAACTCCTTATTTATATTATTTATCTTGACAACCTGTACATCTAAATTAGTCTTATATTTAATAAATGCCTCAATATCCTTGGAAGTGGTATCTATATGTACTCTAGAAACAAATAAAGGTACTGTTCTATCTGCGGCCTTAAAGTTAAACTGCTCCAGAGGTTGAGCGCTCCCTCTTCTGTTCTGTATTCTAACTAATTTATGACGCTTGTGATGAACCTTGGTCCAACCATCCTTTAGCTTATCGCTACTAGAAGTACCACCACTTTTAACAGCGTCTGCCATTGTGTACTCGGACCTCTCAGCTGTTATCATAACACCTGACGCGCGGGGCGCGGGTCCGGGTACGTCCTGTACGGTACGCGTCGACGCATTCCCCGTGACCTCTGTGCCCGTGCTTCGCGTCGTTTCGTTAGTAGTCGTAGACCGCTCGGGCAGGCGCTCGGCGTTGCGACCACTCCCTCCGCTCTCCACTCCCCCGTTAACCACGTACGGGTCGCGGCCGCACATATTCAATGGTATTGCATTTCGCGCCATTTTATCCGCGCCCGGCGTTATTTCTAACGCCTCATTCATATTACACGATAGATTGTCCATTGTAATAGACACATTTTTCGTTGATTGTTCTAATAATACTTGTGTATCCTTGCGGCCACTATGCAGTAATGTATCTTGAACCAATTTTTTCAGTTGCTGTATTTCACTCTGTAATGATGAAATCTCGACCATTGGCGAATGTGATGCTGTTTCAGACTTTCCGCTACGTATAATGGCAACTTCTTTTTTGAGCAGAGACATTTCCTTCAGGAATGTCGTCACATCTATGTGATCAAATGTAACCGGCGGCAATTTGTTAAGATCTCTTGCCACAAATACCGGTAAACAGTCAGGTTCCGTTTCCTTGATAATCTTCACAATATCCTTCACGCTCTTCTGTTGATTACCGTCTTTTCTTCTAGTAATCTTCCGGGAAGGCGCCAACAAATTGAATACGATTTGCCTGGCATTCTCAATTTCAGATTCAGCAAATGCACTCATACATATTTGTACAATTGCGGTCTCAGCAAGCGTATCCACTTTGTTACAAACAAAGGCTAACAGTTCATTAATCAACACATTACACCCACTACATTTTACGTCCATATCACTGCTGACGCCTCTCTGCGGAGATCGCGCCATATTACCGCGCACGCACGTGTCCTCAAAAAACGACACACCTGCGCGACACACCTGCGCGGACGATTATATTATGTATAATCAGCTAATCTTTGGAACTATTAGTTAGATGAGCCTTTTGGTTTAGTGGTGAGCTGTGTGGCTTTATTAACATGGGATTTGTTTGGTGAGATCACCAACCATGGGCACAGTACATTATGTTTTACGTCTATACAATGTCTTCGACTATGGTGGTCCACTCTCCGTATAGTGACGGATTAAGAATAAGGAGTGTCACCACCCCTTTTCATACCGTGGGTATCGTAAAAGCCGACTAAGCAATCTCTGTAGGACAACAGCACTGCAAAGAGATGGAAAACTCGAAACAAACCATTTACCAACTTGTCTGGCCAGCGTGGTATAGTTGGCCATAATTCTTTCTAAGGAGAGGCCTTTATCCAGCAGTGGACAACTAAAGGCTGTTGATGAGAAATATATTATGTGAGATGTATGTTTTATTAGAATAGCGTAAGGCACGCTACAATAGTATAGGCTCAGGCTAGTTTGGGATTAGACGGCCGTTTGTGAGATGTGTAAGGTTTATTTTATTATCATTAATAACGCGTTATTACCACCATTTAAAATACCAATTAGGTACATCTCTTACGAGGTCTATTAAGACTTATTTTAGAGTATGCCTTAAACACTATATTTATGCGTCTTATCTTCTATAATTTGCTCCGTAGAATAAGTGGTATTTATAATACCACTATTATGAGAGCAATATCTGTAATTAAATAAATACAAATGCAAATAAATAAATTACCTGGACTTCACAAGAAGTGTAAATAAGATTCATTCTTATCTAAGTCTGTTACAAGTAGCATTATCACTATTAGTATTTAAAAGAAGACTGTCTGATGTCTTAAATTAATAAAAAGAAATCTACCCTTTGAGTTGTGCAGTTATTTTTATGTTCACAATCCTTTTAATCGTATTTATAACGATGAGTTCGATTCTACAATATTTCGATTAAAAGTCCGATTACTATTTAAGCTACATACACATAACTGAAAATAAAGATCAAACTTAATTTTTGCACCAGGATTATATAAAAAAAAACTGCCTAATATCTTACAGCAATTTTTCGCACACAATTCAAGTTCTGGATTTTCTAACTAGTACCTAGTAATCATTGGCATAAAACGTAAAATTGAGCAAGGCTTAGAAAAGCATCAGTACTAAAATTTCCTCTACAGTTCATGAATACACACATGTCTATCAAGTCGTGAAAATCACATGATACATGGCAAACAAACGTTTGTTAGGCTGCCTGACGTAACCAGTGACGAGAGTGTTACATATATAGGTAAAATAAACGCAAGTTACATCGGCTGTTCCTTCTTAGTCATGCTCTAACTAGCTTGTACTGAACGAGAGAAACAGACCACTTCTTGTACCTTTGCAAGTCCCAATTCTTGTTAAAAATATAAATACCACACTAACAATTGATAAATAAAATTTAAGATCGTTTGCAAGTAAGGTTTGCAACACAAATTTTATGTAAACCCTGGCACACAAGTAAATCTCTTTCTGTTTATAAAGTGTGTGATCGGACTCATATCAGGATCGAGCTCGGCATTTCAATACAAAGAAAACGACTCCGAACATGTATTCACAAAAATGTACAGCATAAGTTTTTTAAATTATTTATCTGCAATTTATTTATTTATTCTTTAGTAGTACGAATAACATTCAGTAGTTATGACACATGTTTTTAAATAACATATATTAGACATAAAGGAGGTTTTATCTTACTATACTACGCTGGCCAGACATAGTGGTTAAGGGTTTGTTTTAAGTTTTCCTTCTCAGTGCAGTACTGTTATCCTGCACAGTTTGCTCTCTCAGTCGGCTCTTACGACACCCACGGGATGAATAGGGGTGGTGCCAATCCGTATTCTTAATCCGTCCCCACAAGGACAGTGCACATCTTATATAGTTTCAATAGCTTTCACACGTGATGTTATTTCCATAATAAATTGCTGTAATGTGACAATCTTAGATCAGCTTTAAAACGGCAAATATTTGGTGCGAACATTGCGACTTTGCAGATACATATGTTATAACAAATATTACGTCAATGTACTGTATATTCTATTTATCAAGCTTTGAAAAATACAATACGGATGTTTTAAAGCTTCAACTACGCAATTACGCATCAAACGACTGTTATTTGTTAATTTTAAAAACAAATACGAGTTATTTATACTCGTGTTTGTTCATATTTTACAGAGATTTTCCAGGAAAATTTGCTTTAGAGGCTAGTTATGTATCATCATCATCATCAGCCTATCGCAGTCCACTGCTGGACATAGGCCTCTCCCATTGCTTGCCACTTAGATCGATTATGGGCTTCTCGCATCCAGCTCGCTCGCTACATATTAGAACTAAGGAGATGTTTTAATCCTTTAAGCGCGCTAATCTTACTACGCACAACCTATCGAAGTTTTTTTCTGTATTGCATAGAGTAGTCACACACTCAAAGAAGATTAAAGGGTATGTACCATCACAATATGGCCTCTAGAAACGGAGCTCTAAACAAGGTTCTAAGACATGAAATCAAGACTCATAGATACTTGACTTGCGTGTTGTCTAGAAACGAAGATAAGAAGTTTAATATGTATCCAGAACAACATGACGAGATTAATTCATTTACGGGGTATGTAAAGACGTATAGGGCTGTTTTAAGTTTAGGTTATTGACAAGCTTTCAGGATCCAAGTTGTTTGTCATGGCCATGAGATATAATTATCAATTGGTCGCCATATAAAAGTAACAGAACCGAAAGAACGAGGCAACATGCAAACAATTTCATTGATACAATACAAATGGACATGAAACATTCTAATCATTTTATTGTGTATTACGTTTTGAGACTAACTATTCAACTTATCGCCATCAAATAACATGATTTAAGGGTACAAAAAAAATGTGCGAAAAGAGAGAAAAGTACTCCAATAAAATGATAAAATCTACATTAAAGCTATGAAAGTCGTGGGTAAAAAACAAAAACAATGTAAAGACCGCTGATGACACTACAATTTAACTACACACATACTACTATACACTATACTACTACACACTACTACTACACACTACACGTTTAACGCATGATCGTGGGATGATGTTTACCTACATGCACAATCACGGTTCAACACAGTGTACAAGGGTCAATCAACTGCTTTGTAGCCAACAAAGCAGTTGATTGACCCTTAATACTGCTATAACGCAATACATAACATTCTGTCTAAGAAACAATGGACCAACTGACGCTGTTGTAGCTCACAGTTGCTCAGATGCACTTACAGGTAGTTGTGACTGTGTAACTCTCTATAAGACAGAAAATAGTGGAATCATTTTTGAGTAACCACACACACACACACACACATACACTAGGCAAATATACATACACATACCAACAGACAAAGTATTATTACACTAACACTACTTTCTACTTTAAAATAAAAACATACTGTATTTATACTCGTTGGATATCTTGGTACGCTGTCAGCGAGTTAGTATAAAATCAAGGAAATTAAAATGTTCAGTTCCCACGAACTTGGTGTCCTGAAACACAGGTCTAGAGCCTAGCTGAGGCACCAGTCTCCTACAATATATACTTTCCTGAATTATGTATACCTTTCAAACTGTTTGTTGCAAATTTTATATTGTAGTGAGAAAATAAACATTAATATTAAAGAGTTGGAGACAATTAAAACATGAGACTTTTAAACGAAGGAAACAACTTACAACTTTTTTCAGCTATAAGAGCCTTGAACGGTTTTATAAGAGCTCTCTTCTTTTAATCTAAACGTGAAGTATTTAATATTAAACCGTTGAAGGAAGTATGACGACGGGAAGCACTTACTACTCTAGACGGATTATGAAACATCGCTCATTACGGACTAGCTTCGTGGGTATTGATAATTTTTAATATTTAAATTTTCATTCATTTACATTTGTCCGTGTGGTTACGGATTAAGAATATCAACACCCCTATTCATTCCGTGGGTGTCGTAAGAGCCGCCTAAGGGAGAAAACTACGCAGGACAACAGCACTAATAAGAGAAGAAAAACTAACTCCGTACCAATCCGTCTGGCCAGCGTGGTATAGTAGGCCAAAACCTCCTTTCTAAGGAGAGGCCTATGACCAGCAGTGAACTATACTTTATAGGCTGTTGATGATGCAATTTTCATTACTTTAAATAATTCAAAAACTCACAAGGGTGGCTTTTATATCTGACTTTTAATAGTATTTTATATCTGACTAACTCATCGTCATCATCCTAAACAGTCTTAGATAGACCAATGCTGGATATAGGCCTCTCCTTAGAAAGAGATTCTGGACTACTGTACCACGCTGGCCAGACGGGTTGGTATAGAGTTCGTTTCAAGTTTTCCTTCTCTTTGCAGTGCTGTTCTATTGCGTTGTTTGCTCCCTTGCTTAATCGATTCTTACGACACCCACGAAAGGAATAGGGGAGGTGATACTCAGTATTCTTAATCCGTTACCACACGGATAGTACAGAAGTACACACCAAAAGTAACATGATGGCCTTAATATGTCATTTTTAAATATAAGATAGTACTTTAAATCCACTTAATTCAATTTCAACATTAGTTCTGTTTATATTCAACTTTTGCCACTCTTTTTCTTTAAATGTTGAATGCCTTTTACAGAGGAGGGATAACTTTTACATTTTTATAATGGTTCAGAAATCTTTGATTCAATCATATTTGAGTTTACACTCTGTGCTAAAACACATGTCCCTAACTAATGAAGTCTGATAGATTATTACAGAAAATTACAAATTTAAAAGAGGGAATAATTTGTTTTATCATTTTCTCGTATTTTTTTTAATAATAATAACTTTATTTCCATAACACAGGTATAATCACAACAATTATTGTTGGAGACTCGTTTTAAGCATGTAAGATGCTTGTGCCAGTCTCCGCTCCCCCGTACGTTAATGATAAAGTATTTCTTTTTCTTTTATTCTCTGGTTATTATATGCATTGTCTCTAACAGCATCAGCAAATCAGACCTGCATGTAAACTTAAAATTACATGCAGTTTTTATTTTCCTACTAACCTGACCTAACTTGACAATGACCTAAATTGATAAAGGTAGTAATTGCATTCTTTACACTACAAAGTACATTGTAGGCAAATTAAGTAGGTACCTATTTACGAATAATAAATATTTACAAAATGATTTTACATACATAAAAACATGCACACAATTGCGAGATAATCCAACGCCAATGAACTTTAAATCTAAATTACGACCATTTTTTTAATCATGTTTATTTTTGTTTCCTCCCTTTCTAAGGAGAGGCCTATGTCCAGCAGTGGACTATTAAAGGCTGTTTATGATGATGATGATTTTTGTTTATCTGTTTCACTTTTTATTTATTTATATAGTATTGTTTTATACTGAATCCAGTCTTTTTTCTTGATCATTACTTTTTTGTATTTGTTGTAACGATCTAGACTCACACTTAGCATATAAACATTCGTGGTTTAGGAAATGTATATTAAAGTATCAGTGTATATTAAATTTATCTTATAATTTTGTTTACAATTTTAATGATAAAACAACTTATACTTACGTCTTTATTCCCAAACAAAAATTTCAAAAGATGTATTTAAATTATGCAGGTACTATATAATATAAACACATATTTTGAAATGTGTTCAATAAATTTAAAGTTGGGTTAAAAAGGCAATATAAATTATTTTTATTAAGTGCCCATTCAAACGATGTTATCAACATCAAATAGTACACAATATTTTCCTGTTTATCTATTTATTTAGAAGAAAACATATAACTACATAACACTAAAAATAAGCGAAAAACTAATAACAAAGTCTTCACTTACAAACTAACTTAAAACACACTTGACTCGTTCTAAGGAACGTAAATGTTTATTAAGTAACTCACATAACAATATCACATAAAACTTAAACTTAGCAATAAAACAGAAAATCAATTAACTGACTTGAATTGAAGAATATTAGACTCAAGCAAATTATTCCACAGGTACACGAGTACATATCTATTTTTTTACATATCCGGTTAAGGTTTAAAAATAAGATTACTAAAGTGATACTTTGAATTCGTACGGAGTATCGACATAGAAAAAAAACCGGTCAGGCACGAGTCGAACTCGTGAGCCGAGGATTCCGTACCTACCAAATTTTAAATTTAAATTTGTAAGTACCAAAATTTATCTTTATTTTCAACATTTTATATTTTTTTTGGAATTATTCCTTTATTTTTGCTGTAAGACGTTTCTTTTTGCCAAATTTCGTGATTCGAGGTCAACGGGAATTACCATATAGGTTTTTGACCCAAAACTTATAGGGTACTTCCGGTTGACCTAGAATTGTCAATTTTGGTTAAAAGCAAGGTGTTACAGCAAGTAAAGAGAAAATTCTGAAAAATAAAAAACGTTGAAAATTAAGGTAAATTTTGGTACTAGTTTTAGTTTTTTAGAAATTCGCCCATATCTTTTTATCGTGTTGACTCAGGTTTTTTTATTTTTATACACCTAATAGGGACCATATCTACCATACCGTACCTAGCAAGTTGAAATTTATACCGTATCTGGTATAAATTTTAACTTGCTAGGTCTACTCGCTCCTGAGAAAATCGGTGGTGACACACGGACAGACGGACAAGAAAGTGATCTTATAAGGGTTCCTTTTTTACCTTTTGAGGTACGGAACCCTAAAAAAGATAGCTGTACGTGTGGCTAGAATATCGCTCTCAAACTGTATGTATTTTTTTGGATAACGAGCAAAAAATCCACACGTGTGCTTACGAAACCAGTGGTATTATATGTGGTCGCGCGAGTGGGCGCAGTGGCGTGCCGACCTCGAGACTGCCATTAGTGTCGGTAGGCCCTTGCTTGAGATCATAGTTATGTTCATGGGCCAGCGCGAGAACATGATTTCGCCATCACGTTCTAGGAGAGATAGCTAACGGCTCACAAAAGACCTTTCTAACCAGTGATGTGCTGTAAACTCTGATGTACCCTACTTTTCGTGTCAGTAGTAAGACTATATTGTACCCTGGAAAGCAACATACGTTAGATTTTATTTGCCCGTACTTTATCTACAATAGTTCAATAGTCTACTTCTACGTGGCGTGATGTTTTTAAAAGAAAAGCTCTTAAAACAGATTTCAACTAAGAATACTTAGAGCAATTTAGGTAGAAGAGTAGATTCTAGTTTTGTACCTATTCAATACCCAATAGTCGTATTGAATGTTCTGATTTTCAGTTTACAATTTTTATATTATTTACTGGACTAGATTTTGTTTGACACGAGTAATTTAATATTTGGTAGCTAAATCAACTAACACGTGTAAGATTTTATCTTTGTATCTACCGCATCATATTTCTACATCACCTGAAGGTCAACTGGGTGAGAATGCCTCATGGCATTAAGTCCCCCTTTGTACAACATATGCATTAAGTTTCAAATCAAAAATTTAATAAATAAATAAATAGAATTTTGTGAAGGACAATCACCTTCACGACGTATACATACATACACACATACTTTATTTATAGAAATAAGAAGTTTTATGTATACGATGTAGTATCTATTACTTTGAAAGAAATATTTTATATAAAAATCAATTACTAGATTTCACCTACTGCTTCGCAAGTTTAACAATTTTTATGTAAGTAGTAAGTAATCTTTCTATTACAAACGCTGTTTTGATTCCTAGATTAGAAGTATGCTATTTCCTACTTTGTAGTCATGACTATGTGTACACAAAAATACATGATTACCGGTGGAGTAGTTAAGGCGTCAAATTGCATGAACAAACTTACACTAGTTGACTCGCTTGTACTGTAGGCATAATTCACTCACATATTCTGTGGCAGATCTAATCTGAAATAGTTAGCCAGGTGGTCAAGTATTCGGACAACATTTTATAAGCGATCCTTGTACACGCCAGTCGTTTTCACAAGCGGGTGAGTGTTGTATATTTAAATATTAAGTGCCTTAGTGTTGGCAATCTAGTTCATGGTGATTCAACTGTGATATTTGGAAGTGAATTTAGTTTTGAACATAAAGTAAGTGGTTATCAGTCTCAAAACTTTTTTTGTTATGTTTTCAATTATAACTATAGGTTAAGATTTTGTTTCTGGGCAACCTTAACGGTTTAATCAACTGTATAATTTTTTTATATTTTTTTTACATATATTATTATGCAAGTTTTGTATTAATTTCTATAACATTCAAACCTGCTAGTGATTGTTAAAAGGAGTTTGATTATGTTCTTGCAATGCAATTGCGATTCTCACTCCCCTGGCTGTTGGCAAGGACAGGAACACCGAGGTGGTTTTTAGTCCGAGAGTCCGACAGACCCCTTCCCCACTGGGCGAAGGACATCCATTAGGATCCCTTCCACCCCGTTAGCAAAAAGAAATCTTATAAAATTATAAAGATTTAAAGTTTATAAAAGTAAAAATCCCGTCTAACTAAAAGTTAAGGTGTCAAGCTTATTTCGGCAATAATAAATGGGAGTATTTGCACTCATAAAACTTTCCAATTCATTGTCACCGTCGAAATCTCATCATCGATAGAAGATTGTTTTATTAAATAATTTTATTAGATGAGAGATATCTCATCTAATAAAGCATTTAATAAAAAAATCTTACACACTTAATATAAATAACCAATTGAAATTATAATAAAGATATCACAGACAAATCCGTGTGGTGACGGATTAAGAATACAGCGTATCACCACCCCTATTCATCCCGTGGGTGCCGTAAGAGCCGATTAAGGGCGCAAACTAATCAAATTTTCCATATAATTTAAAGAGATGGTCAGGTATATATGAAGGTTTAAAGGAAAGCAACTGGTTTACCGTTTACGTAGGTACTCAATTAGATAGAGCGTGATAATCGAATCATGCGCATGTAAATGATTTTAATACTAGGATTTAGTACATTGAATATTTTCGATAATATTTTTCCTCTCACTACTAAATTTCCTGCTACGTTTTTCTTTAAAAAAAAACATGATTTTATTAACTGAATGAAGCAATTACATTTTCTATTACGTAACAATATTCAAATGCTGCAATATTTGCTGTAATCTAATGTAAACAAACAGCTACTAAAATAATATTAATTATTAAGCACAATTGTTGTGAGTAAAATATTAAATATAGTTCACTCGTAAGCCAATCTTCAATGTTAATAATTTAATGTAAAAAAATAATTATTACACTTTACATAATATAATTAAAGTAATATGACCACCTAAAAACCCAACCAACCCGTCTGGCCAGCGTGGTATAGTATAGGCCAAAACCTCCTTTCTGAGGAGAGGCCTATGTCCAGCAGTGGACTATTAAAGGCTGTTGATGATGATTGATGATGACCACCTAAATGTTTCACTTAAGTGTTGCTATATTAATTTCATTAATTAAAAAAAATGAAATAAGCTGTATTTTTCATTCCTTAATTTTCTTCCCCTAAAGGTGAAATATTTTCTTCATTATATTCAACATTTTTAATTTTTTTGCATTTTTCATTCATTATATTCAATGATGAATTCAAGAATTCAAATAAAAATAAATTGAAACCGGTTTACAAATGGCAAATATATCGCGGAAAAGACATAAAAAATCTATCGAAGTTGAGGATTCTCCATTTTTAAGTTTTTTTTTAACTTTTGACTTGTTTGGTCTTTAGATATGTAAATAGCATTAATAAAATATGAGTTCATCATCACCTTTTACAAAATATTGCTCTTTCTGTTCATATACGATAAACTTTTGATCAGTTCTGGTACATCACCATATACATCGTCATATCACATCACATCAACAGCCTTTAATAGACCACTGCTGGACATAGGCCTCTCCTTAGAAAGGTTTTGGCTTACTATACCCCGCTAGCCAGACGGGTTGGCATAGGGTTTGTTTCAAGTTTTCCTTCTCTTTGCAGTACTCTTGTCCTGCGTAATTTGCTTTTTTAGTCGGCTAGTTACTTTATACCTTAATAAAACAATTGAGATTAATTGTGGTATGCAGATGTAATAACAGATAGAATACTTGCACAAAAATTTCAGTTATATTTTAAGTTTCAACAAACATTTGAAAAGGATAATTTAAAAAATTGGAATAAAATTAGTTTAGTTTAGTTAACTAGTAATCCACGGAATGAATAGGGGTGGCGACAATCCGTATTCTTAATCCTTCACCACCTGGAATACATCGTGACAATCATTAATTACAGTGATCAAATCACAACTAGTATGGTTACAAAAAATAATCAGCAAAATGCTTGAAGAGTCTTTTCGATTTATCTGTGATCCCTTCATCACATGGTGACCTGATGACCATTTGACCACTTAGGAAGGGACGTATACTGTTCTAAAAAAATATATTTGGTTATTTATTTTATACTTTATGCAAATACATTGCATAAGGACATAATGCTATAGATATTTTCCTCCAGTCAACCTTTGGGTGATGCAGAGATGTGTGTGTGGCAGGTGTATAATTAGAGTCCATGTGATAAATTATTTTAAAAATGTTGTTAGTTGCAAGATATTATACTATATAGATATACTGGGTATACATATATATGATTAAAATGTACTATATAATACTATAAATATAATAAACATACATCCACCACCGCCTCGGTGGCGCAGTGGTAGCGTATGCGACTGCTGTGCTGTCTCGGGTTCGAATCCGGGTCAGACCAAATGTTTGTATGATCTACAAATATTTGTTTCGGAGTTTAGGTGTTTCCTATGTATAATATGTATTTATTTACCAAAAAAAACTATTATATAAGTATTCTATCAGTCAATCTAGCTTTCATAGTACAAGCTCTGCTTAGTTTGAAACTATATGGCGTTATGTGTCAGATGTCCGAATATTATATATATATTTATATATAGCCGTATAGTAATGAAGACACAAATATTTATTCTAATGACTCCGTCAACAGGTCTTCATAGAGCTTGCGTACTCTAATCTTGAAGGCTGTTCGGTTGGTGGACGTCCTGATCTCTAAAGGGAGGGTTTCCAAAAGATTTTCAGCTTTATTTTTTTGTTATTATTAACCAGCCATCTTAAATTTATCAAAGAACATAGATAACGAAATTAAGTTATTCCGATGAACAGTGAATCTTCTGTCTTTTTTTAGTCAGTTAATCAATTTACGCATACTTTTAATGTCATTTAGGCAAAGAAATGATTAAAAAATGAAAATATAAATATTATAATTATATTTTATTCCGTAAAAACATAATAAAATATTTGGAATTATACAAATCACGTAATATAAATTGAGTCTATTCTGGATATGACTACATACAGGTGTAAGGGACGTTGTAACGAATTCTGTTTCAGACCATCGTTCTGAGTCAAAAATAATATGAATTTTCTAACGGAAAATTAATATTATTATTAAAGTTTTTGCAATCAGCTGTCAAACATTTAGACCATTCCCCGTAGGTATCGCACAAAAGTAATAACTACATTTGTAGTTATTCCGGCCGGAGGGGAGGCCACGCGCGCTTCGGCTTTTTGATTAATTGCACCTTTTAACCGTATGTGGTATTTATTACAATTTTTTTCTGTAAAATGTTCTGTTTACTCAGTGTGATATCATCTTTAACCAAAAAATAGAAAATTATAATTTAAATAATATAATTATAATTTTTTTTAAATCTATTTATTCAGACCGGATACGATTACTGAATTTTCCGGCAAAAAATTACAATGATTTTCCACGCAGAATGATGATCTGAATACATAAGGGACGGTTCCGTTACACCTTGTATATATATCATCATCATCTCAGCCGGAAGACGTTAGTAATAGTAACCGTACGTATCCGTAATAATAAACCGCAGCCGTATATGACGTGATCTGACACCTCAATTACCATCTTACGGTCAACTCTAGTACTGCACGAGTTCTAAACAGCATGCTTATACCACACTTCCTGTCCATTTTCAAGAAATCTCTCTCATACATTGCAGGAGAGCGAAAGAAAGAATGTTAAATATCAAACAATATTGTAAAATAAAATTTTATTTGAAACTACATAGAATACCATTAATACGCCTATTAATTTTTAATTGTCTTAGGAAATCCCCATAAACGGTTTGCAATCCGGCTCACACTGTTAATACTTAAACAATTAATTGTTACTTAACAAACAATTCGTTGTAGAATTTACATACATGGCGTATGTACATTCTTTAACTAATTGTTTTTGTGTAATCTCGAAATAGCACTTTACGTTCTGACCTTGCGTCTTACAAACTATAACGAATTTTAAAGGCGAAATTAACACGAAATCTACCAATTTTTTTTATTAATTTAATCTGGGAGTCATCAGTTTCTTTTGTAACTCGTTAATTTTTATGATAAGATATTTTTAGAAATATTATCAACATAATATTATGTTTTTTATTTATCACAGTAGTACTTAATCTTACATACGTCCTCGTTTGTTAGTACCTAGCTCCCTCGCTCTAAATGTCTTTGTCTATTTACCTACCTATAGTTTTTGTCTTTACGCCTATTAACCTACTGCAATAATTGTCTTGGCATGATAAAGAACGATACATAAAGATATAGATAGATAATACTTTATTTGTACATCAGGGATGCATACTCATGTTAATATTATATTTGTGAAATTCGTCTGAAATAAAGATTTATTATTATTATTAAAATTAAATACTTATTTTCTACATCGTGGCTATTTTGTCTGACAAGGTATGTTGACCGATGACCTTAAGGAGAGTCCTGGGTGACCAAGGTTGTTGGTCCGCAGAGACCGACTTCTTATTTTTATTTCCCATTATCTTCTGACCAACTCCATAAATTAACGGGCTGTAAAAAGTAAACTTCAACTCCACAAAATTTCCATACGGAATTAGCTATTTGTTTTTATTAGAATTTGTAAAATATATGTGGAACTTTTATCCA